GTGGTGCAAGACACCCACCTGAAAGGCAAGAAGCAACCCAACACCAAAAAAAAACAGGAACAAATGTTATCATCCCCACATAATTATACCCGAGATATATTTTCAGAGGGGTAAAAGGATATATTTCACTTGTCTACCTTTGTTGGGGGTCACAAAAAGAACCCAGCCGCAAACACAAACCACAAAACATTCCCAAAAACGCCTAGGCACAGCGGAGGAAGGCAATTGAAAAAAACCAAGACTCGCAACAAAGTGGAACGGCTGAGGAAGAACAAAAGCCAGGGCCACCTGAAACAGGGTTGGAGATACAACCAAAACACCCAAACGCTACTTAAACCAGCTTTAAAACTTTGGTCTCAAAATCGTTCCCGTAAACTGACTAACTTAAAAACCGTTGTGTCCCATCTAACCTCCAGACGATGGAGTTCCTCCGGAGTGAAAAACTGCAGAAGGCAATTCATGCGAAACACTACGCGCGCCGCCACGTCACGAAGGATGCGCATCATTGCGAGATACAGAGAGGAAGCCAAAAAAAAAACGAGAGACCGATTCAGCCAAAAGCTGCGGTGTGATTCATGTCGTGTCATGTGAACCCACTGGATCGGACCAAACCCGGGAAACTGGAGGAAACACAACAAAACCCTATTCCACCGTACAAATCCCTTTGAAACCGTGGTTTTCAGAGGGTACCCGAACCATTACAAGGGTAACAAGTTCAAAGAAGATACAAACGTCAACCATCTGAGACACAGAAAATCCCAAGTCATTAAATCATACACCCCCTTTCAAATGATTCAAACTGGGTGATCATGTCCAATGTTGTTGGTAACCTTACTAAAAAAAAACAAAACCCATTCTGAACCCTCGTGTCATGTGAACCCACTGGATCGGACCAAACCCGGGAAACTGGAGGAAACAGAACAAAACCCTGTTCAACAGTCAAAACCCATTGAAAAATATTTCTTTTCAGAGGATACCCGAACCGTTACAAGGATAACAAGTCTTAAGAAAATTCAAACGTCAACCATTTGAAACACAGGAAATCCCAAGTCACTAAATCATTCACCCCCTTTCAAATGATTCTTACTGGGTGATCATGTCCAATGTTGTTGGTAACCTTATTTTAAAAACAAAACCCATTCTGAACCCTCGTGTCATGTGAACCCACTGGATCGGACCAAACTTGGGAAACTGGAGGAAACAGAACAAAACCCTGTTCAACAGTCAAAACCCATTGAGAAATTTCTTTTCAGAGGATACCCGAACCGTTACAAGGATAACAAGTTCAAAGAAAATTCAAACGTCAACCATTTGAAACACAGGAAATCCCAAGTCACTAAATCATTCACCTCCTTTCAAATGATTCTTGATGGGTGGTCATGTCCAACGTTGTTGGTGGTCCCATAAACAATCAAAACCCCTTTTGTAGGTTTGTTTGTTTGTTTGTTTGTTGGTCGGTCGGTCGGTCGGTTGGTTGGTTTGTTTGTTTGTTTGTTTGTGTGTTTGTTTGTGTGTTGGTTTGTGTGTTTGTTTGTGTGTTTGTTTGTGTGTTTGTTTGTGTGTTTGTTTGTGTGTTTGTTTGTGTGTTTGTTTGTGTGTTTGTTTGTGTGTTTGTTTGTGTGTTTGTTTGTGTGTTTGTTTGTGTGTTTGTTTGTGTGTTTGTTTGTGTGTTTGTTTGTGTCTGTGTGTCAACGTGCGAAAGCTCGACAGCCCTGATGGTGTTTACCGTGGTTATCCATCGACCACCCTAAAGACAGCAAGCTGACATAGGCGCGCGAAGGCCCGAAAGCCCCGATTGTGTTTACCGTGATTTGTTTGTTTGATGGTTTGTTCGTTTGTTCGTTCACTCATTCGTTGATTCGTTCGTTCGTTTGTTTGTTCGTTCGTTTGTTTGTTTGTGCGATTGTTTGTGTGTTTGTTTGTGTGATTGTTTGTGCGATAGTTTGTGTGATTGTTTGTGTGTTTGTTTGTGTGTTTGTTTGTGTGTTTGTTTGTTGGTGTTGTTGTTGTTGTTGTCGTTGTTGTTGTTGTTGTCGTTGTCGTTGTTGTTGTTGTGGTTGTCGTTTTCGTTGTCGTTGTCGTTCTTGTTGTTGTTGTTGTTCTTGTTCTTGTTCTTGTTGTTGTTGTTGTTTGTCGTCTGTCGTTTGTTGTTTGTCGTTTGTCGTTTGTCGTTTCTTGTTTTTTTTTTCGATTTGGCGTACTGCCCAAAAAGAAAACCGGACTTCCCATGCACATGGCAAACAAAGCATCAAAGAGGTACAAAGCATCACTGTACTCCTGCAGCAATGCATGCCTCTGTTAGTGTCGGCCTTCAAGCTTTCCACCTGCAGCCGTGGATGCCGAAACGGAACCAAAAAAAAAGAATCAATGAATCAAGGCCTTTGAAGAAGCAAGTGGCATGAACAAGACATTTGAGACAATCCATGAACAGAATGAACACTCCCGAAAAAAAAAACGCATTCGCTATGTCTTTATTTCCCGGAGATTGCAAGATCCTTCGCCTTCTTGGCTTTAAAACTGGCGGGGGGTCCGCATCCTCTGTTTCGATTTCCCACAAGCGAACAACCATTGGAGAACCTTCCTCTGCGGCATCACGCCTGCGAATGTCACTGCCCTCGTCGGAACTGGTCATCGCATCGCTCCACCGAAACATCATTGCAATACAATCGACTTACTCTTTCAGCATCCCACAAGGTTGAGAAAAAAGTGAATGAAAAAAGCATCATCCAATTGCTACCGTGTTTTTCCCCAAAGACCAAAGAGTCATTGACTTGGAACATGCTAAAAAGTAGACGCAGCCAAAATTGAGCAATGAAATAGCTGCACAACAGTCAGCTAGCATTTTCTACACGAAAAAAGACAGCATATCCTACATATTGCAACAATCATCTGGAACCCCAAAGAAAATAAACCTAGCAACTATAGGATGATTACCAAGACGACTTGCGTAATGATAGACAAAGCCAGTTCTGTTCAGTCTACGCCTCCGGCCTATGCTACACTGATGCCGCCGTGCCCGCTCCTCCAAAAGAGGCAGCACTGCGCAATTTTTTTCTTTCAGTCTCCAAACAGACAAGGTACACGCAGGCAAGAAACGGCATGACATTCTGGGTTAATCCAACGCCCTATATCTGCCGTCGACAGACAGGCATTTGGCTGTACGCCCACGATTACTAGGACTGTCTTCCTATACCGGGGCTTCACCTGTACACTGTGCATATGAAGATGCAACCTGCTGGCACATGGAAGCAACAATCGTATTTTGAATCACCTAAGTGACATGATACAATGCAACAGAATGGCAACAACATAAATTCTAGCTCTTTGTTCACGAGCTGATGCAACATCATAGCAAGACCTGCAAACGTTCTGTACAGAGCGTTTCTCCGCGCTCGGGAAAATTTCAACTGTCCATACTAGCAACCTCCCACCGCACAAAACGCTATCGGGGAAAACCATTGGGTTCCAAGGTCTCAGCCCTGCGCATAGGGAATAATGCTTCGAAAACTCATCCTGAGAGAGATTTCAAAGCCGAGATATGTACAGTCCAGCGCGAAAACTTCGGTCAGCAAGACATCACCTTCACGGACATCTCGAAAAGCCGACGCTTGCCGCGCCACGAAATAGTTTCCATGCTCCTGCACCATCGCAAGGGCCTCATTGAAGCTGGCATCTGGAAACGCCTGTGCGATATCTTCCCGCTGAAGAAGTTGCCCGGGACCATGATACCAAACTTCCCGGCGCCTGTCGTATCGGACGATGACCCGACGTTCAGCCAACCGCCTTCCGAACAGTGCCGGGAGCTGGTAACCTCCAATGCGTGCTGGCGTTTCAGAACGACGCAATGGTTCTATGATGACGCGCCAAAGTGCCGACCCTTGGGACCTGAAGGTCAGGGATGGGAAAGGTGGATTCATTCGGCCAGGAAAAAGTCGCAGAATTTCCCGCATGCGTAGGAGCACAGAAGGATGCAAGGCCGACGCGCGCGTTGCCCGCAAAGCCAAGCAAGGCAGCCATCCAAGGTACTCTTCAATGATCACGTAGACAACATGAATATCCAGCAATGTTGGCATGGCTCACGCGCCCGAATCAGTGGGAGGTCCCCAATCCGTGTTCAACGATTCAAACAGCAAACTCCTGAAAGCCAGATATGTCATGTCAACGGGTCAATTACACAAGGAGTAAAAGTTTAACATCTTTTAATGCGTGCGCTTTTTGCACCTGTCCGATTCTTTGGCTATATGCTTCAGCAATAAACTCAGAATGATTGTTTTTCTCCCTCTCCCTCTTTCCGGACTCTCTATTTCGCTTTCTCTTGCTCTCTCTCACTCTCTTTGTCTCTCTCTTTGTGTCTCTCCTCTCTCGTCCTCCTTTCTTACGCTTCTTTCTCGTCTTGCTCTTCTCCCCTCTCTTTGTCTCTCTCCCACTCTCTTTTTTGGGGTGGGGGGGCTCTCTCTCTCCCTCTCCCTCTCGCTCTCTTCTCTCCATCTCCCCTCTCTCTCCTACTTTCTTTCCTCCTCTTTGCCCATCTTACATTGTCTTTGCTAGCAGGTGCTTGTAGCGCCCTGAAACAAAGTTGGCACACGATCACTGTAGAATCTCGTTTTCACATGCAAAATGCAGATCGCTAGCAGGAATGACTCCATGACTTGAAGGCTTAAAAATTAAAGATTTTCATATGAAATTATAGAAACGTCTGAAGCAACCCACATCTTTCAGAGGGTCTCGCAGTTAAGTATGACCTAATAATAATAATGTACCCAATGGATGTTTACCGCCATCATCTGCACACAAAGGACAACGACGTTGCCAACTTACCTCAAGCAGCAAGCACTTGCACAGCACAATGGCTCTTTTCCTGCCGTGTGCTGTTCCGAGGCCATCTGTCCAAGCGCGCCTAGTGTGCAAATGCGCATGGGCCTCAGTGAGCGCCTGCTGCCAGAAGGGTTGCAAAAGTCACAAAGCCCATGCGCACAGCGTTTCTTGCTACTGGACCATTCTTATTCTGGTGAGCTCTCCTCCCGGTAAATTGTTTCTTTCGTGTAAGACACTTCAAGCTCGAAGCCAGCCAGCACCATTCTGCAGGTCGTCCTTTTGGTGCGAACGATTTGTCTTGCAATCACCCGGTCGTGCCAAATTTCTATGAAAAACTCCACCTGCGCTGCGCGCTCTTGGAAAAGCGGAACTGGAAAGCCGACGGCTTCCAGCCGTTCCCAGTCTTCGGAGAAAACTCTTGCAGCAGGTGGCATCTCACGCCAATTTCCGCGAAGGTGACGCACGTTGACCTCCCGCCCCAAGAGGCGCCGAGCCCGCGACATGCGAAGCTCTTGCAGCAGCACTATCTCTGCGAAGCCCTCAAAAAACCAAAGCTGACGCAGCAAGCCACCTGGACTTCGAATAAAAGAAGCTGGCACGTGCTCTCGCTGACAGGCAGCCAACAAAATGATAATCAGAAACGCTCGCAAGCTCTGGTTGCACTGCAGACGAAGCCCGAGGGGCCATCCAAGATATTCTACGACAAGCGACAAAGGCGCATGAGGCAGTTGGTCCAAAGTGTTCATCGCGGGCAAGGATATATCCAATGATAATTCAACCGCCAAAGGTCAAGATAATCCCAAACTCATATGCGTCCCAAACAGATGGTAGATACAGAACGTGTTTGCTGTTCACTTGTCCCCGCCTGATAAGGAAAAACGTCACAGCAACAGCCATCAATGCGGAAACAGAAAACCTTTCCAGAACGAAAAGATTGAATTGATCATTCAGCACAATCCACGACGAATGCATCACACCAACAAAATTCATCCTAGCTAAGTTAACATCAATGCATTGAAAGATTGCATATCCTCCACACCTGTGAAAATCACAAGCTTGCACCAAACAGCGATACACATGCATCTTCAACAAAAACCAACCCATCATAAAGGAAAAAGAACGCATTTTTATTGCCCACATCGCATTGCTTCTCACCTGCCTGCTACAGGAGGCAACCCTGTACACGCGGTCGCCGCACCCACTGTCCCATAAATAGCATCAGAGCGGGCCTGCCGCCGACTGTTCGAGAAAAGGCATCAGAGCCCGCCTATGGTCTAGTAGCCTTCAAGATTGCTCCATAAGGTCTTCTATCACCCTAAGAAGAGCAAAAACAGCACAAGCAAAAGCCCAAAAATAGAAACAAGCTGCTGAAACAAAGCCAGAAACAAAGTCCACTCACTAAGCCGTGAAAAAACAAAGTTGGCAGCTAAGACTTGAGCAGCTAAATACAGAAAGCAGCGGCACAAAAGAAGAACGCCCAATATCATTGAATTTTGATTTCAGAACCAGAACGCGACAAAGCTAGCAAGCTGATAACCCGTTGCTAGGACTACATACTCACTTTGACAGCTAACCCTCCCAATACGGTTGAATTTGTCCAAAGTTCAAACAAGCAAAGTTTACAATTTACCAGGTTTACAATTACCAAAGCCCGCTGTTGCCATTTCTTTGCAAGATCGTTCTCCCAGTCACATGCAAAGTTTCCTCAAAAGTAGCCACTATGGCTCGCAGCAGACAGCGTTGTGGACTGCGCATTGCTCGACTGCAACATTTTGCGGATCAGACGCTTGTATACAGGAAACCTCCACCAAGAACCGCCTCGAACGCAGCACTTGCACATCATCACAGCAAAGGTGAATCTAGTTGTACTGAACATTTGTATCCAAAGCAAATAAAGCAAGGAGCTTCTACAAGTCTACATGAGCTCCTGCTTTATGACATGCTAAGAATCTTGACCCAATGCAGCCCCAACCTAAGCCAAGAAAACCCTATCAAGGTGCACTGTCTGTAAACCTGCCCTTCAACATGCCTCCAAAATGGTCGCCAGACCGAGCACGGTGTCTAAAAATGCAACCCTTGTGGCCCCATGTAACCCCACCGTAAACCCAGAACACCCTATCAAGAAACACTGTCAGCAAAACTGCCCGACAACATACCTCCAAAATGGACACCAAACCGGGCGCGGTGTCTAGAAATGCTACCCTCTTGGCACATGACAGCCCGTCCATGTGGCCAAATGTAACCCCAACGTAGGCCAAGAACACCCTATCATGCCGCATTGTCTGCAAAATTGCCCGCCAACATACCTCCAAAATGGCCTCAAAACCGGGCGCGGTGTCTAGAAATGCAACCCTTTTAGCCCAATGTAACCCCACCGTAAGCCAAGAACACCCTATCAAGGCACATTGTTTGCAAAATTGCCCGCCAGCATACCTTTTAAATGGCCTCAAAACCGGGCGCGGTGTCTAGAAACGCAACCCTTTTAGCACAATGTAACCCCACCGTAAGCCAAGAACACCCTATCAGGGCGCATTGTTTGCAAAATTGCCAGCCAACATACTTCCAAAATGGCCTCCAAACCGGGCGCGGTGTCTAGAAATGCAACCCTTTAGCCCAATTTAAACCCCAACGTAAGCCAAGAACACCTTATCAGGGCGCACTGTCTGCAAACCTGCCCTTCAACATCCTTCCAAAATGGCCACCAGACCGAGCGCTGTCCCTAGAAATGCGACCCTTTTAGCCCAATGTAACCCCAGCGTAAGACAAGAACACCTTATCAGGGCACATTGTTTGTAAAATTGCCCGCCAACATACCTCCAAAATTGCTTCAAAGCCGGGCGTGGTGTCTTGAAATGCAACCCTTTTAGCACAATGTAACCCCAACATAAGCCAAGAACACCCTATCAGGGCGCACTGTCTGCAAAATTGCTTTCCAACATACCTCCAAAATGGCCTCAAAACCGGGCGCGGTGTCTAGAAATGCAACCCTTTTAGCCCAATGCAACCCCACCGTAAGCCAAGAACACCCTATCAGGGCGCATTGTTTGCAAAATTGCCCGCCAACATACCTCCAAAATCACCTCAAAACCGGGCGCGGTGTCTAGAAATGCAACCCCTTTAGCCCAATGCAACCCCAACGTAAGCCAGGAACACCCTATCAGGGCGCATCGTTTGCAAAATTGCCAGCCAACATATTTCCAAAATGACCTCAAAACCGGGCGCGGTGTCTGGAAATGCAACCCTTTTAGCCCAATGCAACCCCACCGTAAGCCAAGAACACCCTATCAGGGCGCATCGTTTGCAAATTTGCCCGCCAACATACCTCCAAAATGGCATCAAAACCGGGCGCGGTGTCTAGAAATGCTACCCTCTTGGCCCAATGCAACCCAACGTAAGCCAAAAAGACCCTATCAGGGCACACTGTCTGCAAACCTGCCCTTCAACATGCCTTCCAAAATGGCCACCAGACCGAGCACGGTGTCTAGAAATGCAACCCTCTTGGCACATGACGGCCCGTCCACGTGGCCAAATGTAACCCCAACATAAGCCAAAAACACCCTTTCACAGCGCACTGTCTGCAAAACCGCCCTGCTTCTAGAGATCCATGTCCTTCGAACTAGTCTTCACTTCGGTCTCCACAGATTCTTCCCTTACAAACATTTGACCAAAAAAACAAAGCATTGCTCCTAGAGATCCATGTCCTTCGAACCAAGACAGACCTCCAAATTTACCACTGGAGCGAACACCCGAACAAGGCGCAGTATCTACGAATTTTCCTTCAGAGCCAGTGCCAACCCACCCGTCCTTCCTTCACTTTGCTCCTGAAACCTTTTGGGCCAGAGCAGCTCATCCTTCAAATCCCAACGGCTCTCCCGATCTTTGGCGTGACGCCGGGACGATCAGCCCCCCTCACCATTGCACTTGCATGTGAAAAGGATGCTGCCACAGTGTCCAACTCTGCGGCCCCCTATGTTAACCCGGACCCTCCCCGGGAAGTGCCTTCAAGCAGCGACGAAGTGCCACAACCGGACATAAGCGTCCAAGTCTTGCAGCCAACCAGCGTTGCCCGTGGCGAGGTGCTGCAAACAGCTCCCACAGACCCAGGTGGCTTCCTGTCGGAAAAGGATTTGTTTTGTAATCGTTTTTTTGATCTATTCCCTTCCAAATCTCAAGTTCACAAAATCGTGTGTTTTACAAGCCAAATGCAATGAAACCATGATGGTGCAGAAACTTGTCCTTCAGCCGGTAGGGCACCATAATACGCTGCACGTAAACATTGCGAAGCAGCTCGGCACTCCTACAGCAGCAGCAAACTCCTTGTCGCGGCCGAAGGTCGCAAACATTCCAAGCCGGCGGCGAGCAGCGCCACAAACCTTTCTGACTTGCAACCGGGACCACCGCTGGTGGCTCGACGAAGACAACCGAAAGAGCCGCAGGCCTCCAGAGGCAGGCGTGACATAGAGTTCCATGACGCATTGCAAATCATGAAGGAAAAGCAGATATCCAATTAGATAAAAGAGTGTCAGGATTATGTACGCATATATACATAGATAAAAATATACAATCATATATTTACATGCATGCATGCATGCATGCATGCATACATACATACATACATACATACATCCAGACATACATAGATACATACATACATACATCCATACATACATAGATGCAAATAGATCCCCAGCAAGCCGGTCGGCGGTAGTTTCCAGTTGTAAGTAAGAAACATACTGCTATAGGATTCCAAAAAAATGTTTTTCCTATAGGAGCTATGAAAGGCTTCCATCATCGTTCCGAAACTTCTGAATTCTTGTTTCAGATTTTGTGACCATTCTTCCGCGTTCCTGTCATCTGTTTCTTCTCATTTCAAGTCTTGTCCACTGGTGTTGAACGAATTAGCATCACTCGCACCTGTGCAAATTTCTCAACCCAGTCGAAGTGACTCAGTTGCAAACTTTCTTCTTCAAATGAATTGCTTATTTTTTCTTTCGGTTATCATCTTCGTGTCATGTCCAAGCATTGAAGGTATTAAAGGAGTACTTAAAGATTCAACCTTCAAGCAGGCGATTGCAGCTGCTCTTTTTGCGAACCTGCATCGAACAAATCTGCTGCCAAAGCACCACAACTCGGAGTTTCTTCTATGAAAATTCCTTTGACAAATATACATACATGCATGCATACATGCATATACATATATAGATATAAAAACCTAAAATACATGTACACATATATGGAAATACTATATATATATATATATCTCTCTCTCTGGCCATACGTGATTAATCCGAAAAAAACAGATAAACCACAGGTCTCCCAAGCCAAAAGCCCCGTCAGATTCCTCTGCTGCCTTCGAAGAAGGCTTGGCCCTGGGGCCTGGTTCTGATTAGGAAACGCTGATGGAACCTGGTCGGGGTCTTCTCGTCGCACTACCACAGGACCAGCGGCTACCAGCTCCTGGCACCCAGTTTTGGCATAAATTTACCCAAAGGAAAGAACCTGCATTCTGTACAGCTTGTCTCTGAAAGGCACAAAATTCGATCAAAAGAAAGAACAAAGCAGTGCAGCATG